CTCAGAGCGGCTTACAAACTCCTTCCCCTCCCCACAACAGACACCCTGTGAGGTAGTCGGGGCTGAGAGAGCTCTTGACAGAACTATCCCTTGAAATACATGCGGATCTCCTATCACTAACGTTTAGATTTCTCTGTGGGGGTGAACAAACAGGTGGACGAGGGTGACCCAGTCCATGTTGTCTACCTAGACTTCCAGAAAGCTTTTGATAAAGTTCCTCATCAGAGGCTCCTAAGTAAACTCAGCAGTCATGGAATAAGAGGACAAGTCCTCTTGTGTATTAAAGGTAAAGGTAAAGGTTCCCTTGCTCGAAAGCCAGTCGAATCCGACTCTAGGGTTGCGGTGCTCATCTCCATTTCCAAGCCGAAGAGCCAGCGCTGTCCGAAGACGTTTCCGTGGTCATGTGGCCGGCATGACTAAACACCAAGGCGCACGGAACGCTGTTACCTTCCCACCGAAGTGGTCCCTATTTATCTACTTGCAATTTCTTGCTTTCGAACTGCTAGGTTGTGCATTAAAAACTGGTTAATTAAGAGGAAAGCGAGAGTGAGTATGATTGGGCAGTTTTCACAGTGGAAAGTTGTAGGCAGTGGGGAACCGCAGGGCTCAGTACTAGGCTTTTAAAATTGTTTCTTAATTATTTGGGGTGAGGAGTAATCAGTGAAGTGGCCGAGGTTACAGATGACACAAAGTTGTTCAGGGTGGTGAGAACCAGGGAGGACTGTGAGACCCTCCAGAGGGATCTGTCGAGGCTGGACGAGAGGACGTCAACGTGGCAAATGAGGTCCAACGTGGGCAAGCACCATATTATGCACATTGGAGTCCAATATCATAATTATAGAAATGTGTGGATGGGGTATCTGACTAGGAGATAGATCTTGGGGTCATGGCAGATAACTCACTATAGATGTTGACCCAGTGTGCAAGTGCAATTAACAAGGCAAATGCTACGCTGGGGATTATTACGAAGGAGACTGAGAACAAGTCAGCCAGTATCATAATTCCTCTGTATAAATCTACCAGCCTGATGCCTGTGCTTCGTTATGGTATTTAAGTTCCGTAAATCCAGTTATAATAGTGATGGTGTGACGTTTGAAAGGTAACGTGTGTTGTAGGAAGTCTAGTGGGGAAGACTGTAGTGTAAAGGATGACGTGAGACATGCGTAGTGGTGTTTTTTTTCCTTTACCGAAGGACCTCTCTGTAGCCCACAGTGGTGGTTCTACCCTCAGGTGCTAGGATCACCAGGCTGCTTGGTGAGCTCACTCTGGAGCAGGCTCCTACCGGTAGAAAGGTCCTTTACTATCTCCCCGTGAACATTCATAAACTCAATTGCCATGCTGGCTGTTATGAGAAATGTCTATTCAGGAGTCTTGAATTGCTGATTTCTGTAACTGTCCTCAACTGCCTGCAGTCTCTTTTAACTGTGTTTTTACCTCAGAACATTGAGATCCACAGCTGAGCAATCAGAGCGAGGTGGGTGCAAGCAGGCAGGTTTTACCTCAGAACTCTGAACTACACAGATGACCAATTGGGGGGGGGGGGGGGGGGGGGGAGGACGCGGAATTGGGGGAAACACATTTTGCCCCCTTAGGTGTCATGTTTCTCAGAAATCTCTTTGCAGTGGGGGGTTGACGTCATGGTAGGAATGCACTTCCCTTATTTTGGGTTCCTTGGTGCAGGGGTTTGGCCTGAGCATTAGATTTTGGTGTGTGTGTGCAGGGCATACTTTTTTTTTTTTTTAACAAAAATGCTTCTCATTTATGTTACATTTAAGAAGTGAGATATAACTACGTATTCAAAACAACGTCTGAGCAATCAGATTTTGAGCAAGTTCATATGAACCAATTTTCTAGAACCCACACTGTGAGAAGTTAAATAACTTAATACAGGAAAAGACTTTTCTACAAATTTGGGGTATATTTCCATAGTGGGTGGGAGTGCGGCTAAGCTGGGCCAGCAGCATCGCTAAGGTGATCTTGCTGGGGTAGCTTCCCTAATGGATTAAAGTACCCTGGCCCTGCTCTTACACCTGACAAACACCCACCTGTCTGGTGTAAGGGGGGGGGGGAGGATTGTGTTTAAAGGAATCAGGGAGGCTGGGCCAGCAGCAGCGCTAAGGAAATCTTGCTAAGCAAGCCTCCCCGATGGCTTTAAGGACTTCATGCCCTTTCCATCTCTTAATAGGCAGTTGTCTGTCAGGTGTAGGAGGGGTAGCATCTCTGAAGGCATCAGGGAGGCTGGGCCAGCAGGATTGCTAAGCAGATGCTGCTTGGGCAGCCTCCCCAATGGCTTTCAATGCTCTGTCCCTGCTCCTGCCCCTGACAACAACCGCCTGTCAGGTGGAGGAGGGGTGGGTGGGAGTGTGTCTAAAGCCACTGGGGAGACTGGGCCAGCAGCATATCTAAGGTGTTTCTGCTCAGGCGGCCTCCCTGATGGATTAAAGTACCCTGGCTCTGCTCCTACACCTGACAGACACCCACCTGTTGTTGTTGGACGGGAGTGTATTTAAAGACATCAGAGAGGCTGGGCCAGCAGCTGTGAGCAAGCCCCCCTGATGGCTGTACGTATCCCACCCCCTTAGTTGTTGTAGATTTTCCAGGCTGTATGGCCATGGTCTTGAAATTGTAGGATCTGACGTTTTGCCAGCAGCTGTGATTGACATCCTCAGAGGTATAACACAGAAAGATGGAGTATGTCACCATGGCCATACAAAAACCAGGAAATCACTGTGATCAATGACAATGACACATTTAATAAATGTTACATTGAAACAAAGTCCAACAATTCATTTACTCAATTTTACATTAAAAACAGAGTCCAACTTATTCATATTCTCAACAGAGTATAGCATTTCCCTCTCATTACTCAATTACACCGGTTTTTACACTCATTTCATTATCTTTCTCAAGAGTAATCTTATAGTTCTTATAGAGTTGGAAGGTGTTCTCTTCTATGAATTATCAGTTCCATTGCATTTCTTAAGTAGGAGCAGGCCAATAAATTGAATGTCTATTTGTAGCAAGGAGTCCATGATTTTGTGTGGCAAAAGCCTACTTTAAAATTGGCTAGCATATGGCTGGCATTACTCAATGTACTCATTGAGTAATGAGAGGGAAATGCTATACTCTGTTGAGAATATGAATAAGTTGGACTCTGTTTTTAATGTAAAATTGAGTAAATGAATGGTTGGACTTTGTTTCAATGTAACATTTATTAAATGTGTCATTGTCATTGATCACAGTGATTTCCTGGTTTTTGGCATGTTACTGTACACTGTGACCCCTGTTTGTATTTTGTTGTATTGACCATGGCCATACAGCCCAGAAAATCTACAACAACTAATGAACTCCAGCCGTGAAAGCCTTCGACAGGCAGCTGTGTTGAAGGGGTAGGGGTAGGGGTAGGGGTATTGCAAGCCACTGTGGAGGCTGGGCAGGCAGGATCGCTAAGGTATTACAGCTGGGGTGGGCTCCCTGATGGCTTTAAGCACCCTGCACCTGCCGCTGCACCTGACAGACAACTGCCTGTCAGGTGTAGGAAGTGGGGGGGGAGTGTGTTTGAAGCCATGGGGAGGCTGGGCCAGCAGCATTGGTGCACCTCACAGGTAGTTGGCCATTCCTGATTCTCTGCAGTCTCCTGTAACTGGTTTTTTTAACCTCAGAACACTGAGCTCTGCAGCTGACCAATCAGAGAGTGGAGGGGTGCAAGGAGGCAGCAGCCTGGCAGTCACATAGGAAGCAATGGAGGGAGCACGTTTTACCTCTTTTGACCCCCAAATTTCTAAAAATCCCTTCTTAGTGAGCGTCTACTCACGGAGAGTGCTCTCCCCGAATTTCGTGTTTTTAGGTCCAGGGGTTTGGCCTGGGCATTGATTTTACATTGAGGGAACTTTCTTTTATGTATATAGATGGTGTGGTCTCATTTGGAATACTGTGTACACTTCTAGTCATCACACCTCAAAAAAGATATTAAAACATTGGAGAAGATGCGGTAAAGGGGATGATTAAGGGGATAAAATGATTAAGGGAATGGAACACCTTCCCTATGAAGAAACGTTAAAGAGGCTAGGGCCCTTCAGCTTGGACAAACGATGAATGAGAGGTGACATGATAGTGGTTTACAAAGTTATGCACAGGGTAGAAAAGGTAGAGAAAGCAGTACTTTTCTCTCTTTTTCACGATACATGGACTCATGGGCACTCAATGAAACTGATGAGCACTAGGCTTAGAACAAGAAAACAAAAGTACTTCTTCACCCAAAGAGTAAATAATATATGGGATTTAGTATGACAGGAAGTGGTGGCAGCTACAAGCATAGACAGCTTCAAGAGGGGACTGGATAAAGATATGGAGCAGAGGTCCATCAGTGGCTATTAGCCACAAGGTATGTATGGAACACTCTGTCTGGGGCAAGTGATGCTTTGTCTCCTTGGTGCTTGGGGGGGGACAACAGTGGGAGTTCTGTCTCCACTGGTAGACCCCCTGAAGGCACCTGGGTTTTGGCCAGTATGTGACCCATAGTGTTGGACTGAATGGGCCTTCTTTTATTTTCTTATGTACCCCAACGTTTTGAAAACTCTTTCCCCAGCCTGTTTCCTGTTCCATATCTCATTAATCTCCTCTTTCTGGTGTTCCCACTTCTGTTTCAGGTGAAGGAGGAGATCATGCAGGAGTGTTACCCTGGAGCAACCTTTCCAGGTAAGGTCCAAAGGGGGGGTGCCTTTTCCAGTGGTTGTCCTCCTTGAGTGAATGTGGGCTACTTTTCTGCCCCCCCCCCTGCTGTGTGGGAAAGGTGCTGCTTCTCCATTTAAAATATTCCATGGCTATCCAAAAGTATCTGTGTCTGAACCAGCATCTTCAGTTATGTCCATGATCCATTATACAGGGGATATATTTCCCCCAATGCTCAAGGAACAGAAGAGGAAAGGACAGAACGTCTTCCAAGTACCCTTTTTCCCTTCACAGGTGGTGATATGAAACCAGTGGTAAATTCTTTGCCGTCTCTTTGTGGCAAAGCATTGTCCATGAAGCCAGATCAGGTAAGGATGGAACTGCGGGTCATGCTCCTGGTGCCTCCCCCCACCTCTCCCTAGGCCTGAGAGATTATTCCTCTTTCTTTTCCTGCTCACTCAACAGAAAAGGAAGGTGCCTCACCATGAAGGTTTGGATGTTCCTAGCATCTAACCGCAGTCCTTTTGGATTGCCCTTAGAAGGAAAGAATCGCTCCGTTAGCGTAAGGAGAGGCTGCTTCTTTTTTGGTCTCTTTTCAGGGTCTGGTGAGTGTTGAGGAGGTGTCTGTTCACTTCACGGAGGAGGAGTGGGCTCTCCTGGATCTGGACCAAAGGAGGCTTCACAAGGAAGTCATGGAGGACAACCGTCAGGAGGTGGCCTCTCTGGGTAAGGCTCCCCTGTCCCTTGATTCACAGGTGCTGAAGAGAGGAATGGCTCCTTCTAAGAAGGACTATAGTATGGCCCTTCTCATAGGGACTGTCATAAGGGGAGTAGAGTGGATCAGGTCCATATGCAGGCAAGGGAGAGACTTCTGCGTGAATATTAGTTTGTAAGCTAACAGGAGAGTTGGAAACTAAACAAAATTACTCTTAAGAGCCACTGAGGAGTGAGCAGGTGAATGGCCATGGAAAGGCAAGGGGCAGACAGCCAAAAGGAAGCCTTTTCAATGAAACCTCCTCATGGGCTGTTCTGAGCCCCTTTAAGAAAGGGTGAGATACCATTGACATCATGATCTATACGGCAAAAAATGCTATTGCCTCTTGTCGACGCAAACCCTACCCCCTACCCCAACCTGAAGATGTGGTTCAGAAAACTGTGGGAGACATACTTGATGGACAATATCTCTGATAAAATTAACAAATCCCTATTGAAACCAGTCAAAACAAATTTTGATAGCAAATGGTTCCTGATATTAGAATTTATATTGCGGCATGGATTCATATCACCAGATTGGAAACAATAGCAGAAATGGCTCTAAACACTGACCCTCTCAAAAAGTGTACCATATTGTATTCCTATTGCTTTAATAATTTCTCTCTACCTTTAACGATATGAATTACCATTTTTTATGATGCTTTAATGTATTATAAGTAGCACTAAAGAAGAAATCTGGGACTCCTCTCCACATGGAAATACACTGTCGATGGATTGTTCATAGGTAGTTTTGTTAAACTGCTGAATTTCATTACGCTTTATCCTAGTTGTACTATATTGCACCGTAAAATGCAAAATGTTTTGCATTGATGTGTCACTTTAATGTTTATGCAACTTACAATAAAAATTACCGAAAAAAAAGAAAAAGAAAGGGTGAGATAAACCCCCCCCAGAAGAATTATATTGAAAACTTTAAAAACAAAACAAAACTAGCAATTTCAAGATTTTGGGGATCCATCTCCACCTTATCCTGTCCTGTTAGGATTGTAGTCTCTTTTCGAAGGGAGAGGAACCCTTAGACAGTAGCCATTTGTCAGAGCCACATTAGATGCTGTCAGACTGGGATGCTGGATCTTTTGTGTCTTTGAAGAGGGCTCCAGTATTGAATCTAGTGGTTCTGACTGAGATTAGGGCTTCCCTTTCCTGTGCAGAAGTTCCCTTCTTCTCCACACTGGGCCGCTAGATCTTCCTGGATCCAAGCAATAGTGCCCTCCTTTCCCACTGCATGCGTGTTTTGGGAATTTACAAATTTGGCATTTTGCCGTTAAGTGGGGCTGGGATTCATACAGGCTGGTTTAAAATCTGAATGTTTCTTAGAGTTTCTTAGAAGTTGGAATGTGTGCCATTCTGTGGTCTGTTTCTTTCCCCTGAAGAAAGACTTCTGCTTTTCAAACCTGATTCCAGATCAGTAGCCGGAGAAGCAGGAAATCCACTTTTCGAAGACCCAGAAGAAAAAGAGAGATCAGCAGGTATCTGCTTCCTTTTGTGTTGAAAGAGAATATGATTTCTTTTGGGATTATTTCACCTCCTGGAGAATGGAGTGATTTCTCGAAACAGCCAGAGATGTCTATGAAAGTATTATCAAATGTGAAAGAGAAGCTAAAACCGGGGCGAAAAGGCTGGCTTGTTCTTGCGGGGAGGGCGGGGTATAAATCTGAAGAAATAAATAAATAAATAAATCTTGGGGGGAAATGTCGATACAGGACTTGGCTTCATTCAACGTGGATTAATTTAGATGCTGTGTGAAGGAAGACGCTATAGTAGCAAAAGCTAAATGGATAACAATATAAATAAATAATGAATTATTTACTAGAAATGCAACAAAACCATATATAGGCTGCGGTCACACGGAACATTAGCCATGCTAAAGAGACGGAAGATAGGCGGATTTTCCGGGCGCGGTCTCACCGCCACACCTGGGAAGCATAGAGCTCCCATGGCTCACCCGAGGCTTCCCGCCGAAGATGCGGGGTAAAAAACTAGTACCTCCGAGGTACTAGTTTCCGGTAACCGCGGGGCAAGGGCGGGCGTCTGATCACGTTTCCGGTGGCATCTGGCGCCCGCCCATGTCACTTAGCAAAAAGGTTTTTCCCCCCCAAGTCTCCATGGATGCACACAAGCACCCAACGGAGCATGCGCATACTTTGGTGCACAGAAAAAAACAAACCCGTTTGATGCAATGCGCTGCTTCTTTGCCACGCTGCAGGATTGTCCTGTGATCGGCACCTCCCCCCTCACACCGGGACTTCCACGAGACATCTGATCACGCTTTTTTGCCCCGGGGCAAACAGCCACGCCTCCCCCCCGTGATATCCGGCCGGTGTGACCGGGGCCATAATATAACAATACAAGAAAATTACAATTCAACAGGAAAATTCAGTAGACCAACAGGTAAATACAATATAAGTAATCAGATAATTTCAATAATCCAACAGGTAAACGCAATACAAATTCAGTACTTCAAACGGTAAATTCAACAGGTATATTCAGTAATCCAATAGGTAAGTGTAATACAAGTAATGAAGGCTCCGGATATTCAAAACTTCATTTTGAAAGTCTTCCTTAGTAGAGACTAAATGTAAACAAAGATTACTAAACACCTCAAGATAATACAAAAAATTCCAAAGAACTAAAAATATATGAATGAAAATTAGTAAAGGTAAAGGTTTCTCTTGCTCAAAAGCCAGTTGAATCCGACTCTAGGGTTGCGGTGCTCATCTCAGTTTCCAAGCCGAAGAGCCAGCGCTGTCCAAAAACATCTCCGTGGTCATGCGGCCAGCATGACTAGACGCCGAGGCGCACGGAACACTGTTACCTTCCCACTGAAATGGTACCTATTTATCTACTTGCAATGTCTTGCTTTCAAACTGCTAGGTTGGCAGGAACTGGGACCAGAGACGGGAGCTCACTCCGTCATGCGGCACACTCGGGTCTCAAACTGCTGAACTACCAGCCTTCCAATCTGCAGTTCAGCATCTTAACCACTTACCTGTTGCTAATATTCTATAAGACAAATATTCATAAAGTTCTGAGGTAGATATCATTAAAAAGACTTTCCTATATGGAAAATACACGTCTCCATGAAGTCCAAGTTACATGTATATAACTATATCACAAAATAACAATCAGTGCCTAAAGACAAAAATTACACTCTTACCAAACATTTTTTTAGAACAGTATAAGTCTGCTAATGGGCGAGCAGTCATCATTTGTTAGGGGAATGTCTCAATTTTCTTTGGTTGCTGGACTGCCTCTGAGGAATAAGGAACTATAATCCTAATTTATAAACCATAAGCAAGAGCCATCATGAGCAATAGCGTTCATCAGTGTAACATTTAAAGGGACCATGTTTCTATTACAAAAAGCAATTTAATTCTAGCAATTGGTTAAGGTCATAGGGATAGTAAGTTTTTAAACAATAGATCCAAAAAGCTTCACATTGAAGTAATACTTTCTGCGAGTTAATCCTGTTTTGACTGTTAATGTTTAAAGTTTCTAAAACCAGAAATTTAAATTTGTTAAAGGCATGATTTTTATCAACAGAATGCTGGACTAAAGGAGAATCAAGACGTCGCTGCTGAATTTGTATTGAGTTTACCTGTTGGATTATTGAAATTATCTGATTACTTATATTGTATTTACCTGTTGGTCTACTGAATTTTCCTGTTGAATTGTAATTTTCTTGTATTGTTATATTATGGCCCCGGTCACACCGGCCGGATATCACGGGGGGGAGGCGTGGCTGTTTGCCCCGGGGCAAAAAAGCGTGATCCTGTCTTCCTTCACACAGCTCTTTCTTAGTCATTTACCTTTACTGTGTGATCGCCTATAATGTTTAATTTAGATGCTGCCTCTCCAGATACCTGTTTGTGGAACCTCACAAACATCAAAAAATGCCACAAAACAGTCTACACAACATAAATCATCTGTATTAAAATGTAAAGAAGCCAGAGGGGTGGTAAGAATGTGCGGCAGTCACCGGTCTGTTTCTTTCCCCCAATGAAGAACTTCTCGTTCCCAAAAACGATTCCATGTCTATAGTGGAAGTAGGAGGAGATCCTCTTGTCAAAGACCCAGAAGAAAGAGGGTCAGCGGGTATTTGCTTCCTTTTGTGTGGGAAGAGAATAGGACTTCTACCTCCTATTCCCTTCTACCTTCTACCTCCTAATAGGACACCTACCTCACAGGGTGTCTGTTATGGGGAGGGGAAGGGAAAGGAGTTTGTAAGCCGCTCTGAGACACCTTTAGGTAGCGAAGGGCCGGGTATAAATCCAATCTCTTCTTCTTCTTCTTCTCTTGAACTAAATTTTAGTCACTGAAGAATGGAGTCATTTCTTGAGAAGAAGCAGCCAGAAGGTAGCTACAAAAACATTCTCAAATGTAAAAGAGAAGCTAAAACCTCCTAAAGCAATACCGTCTCTTCTGACAGGCAGCGATGCTTTAGAGAGGAGGGGATGTGATGAGTCCAGGGTGGGTGATGTGTTGGGGGATAGCAGGTCTTTCCTTTATTTCTTGGATTCTGTTAATTCTCCTGGGTTCTTCTGCTCTTCTTTTAAGGAGCGAAAGCAGCATTTGTGAGATCATTCCATTTTCCTGAACAGCAAACCTGTGATGTGGAAGATGCTGGGAAAGAGAGATTGGCACAAGACCACTCCAGCGCATTGAACAAGTGGGGTGTTCAGCTCGGGTCACCATAGTTCAGGTGTAAAACCCTGCTCCACCCTGTCTGTCCAGGTGCTCTGTTTGAATCCAGGAAGAGATTTGCTAGAGGTCCCTCTAGTCCAGCCTCCAGGTTCTCAGAGTGGCCCAGTAGAGTTCCTGGAAGGTTCATGAGCAGAGCCAAATCCTTGCCCTGGAACTGCCCTTCTGGCAACCAGCCTTCCAAGAGATACCTTCTTGAACGTGGAGGTTCCACTTTGTCCCCTTGCCTCTGATGGATTTACCCTCCAAGGAAGACTCAAAAGCTGATTAATATGTGGTAGGATTTGTCTCCTTTTGCAGTGATTTCTGTCCTGCCATTATCGAGAACCGTTAATGCACTTCTTTCATTGATAAACTTCTCTCTCTATTCCAGAGGTGGAAGGTCCCCAGAATACGTCCAAGGGAGAACCACAACAGATCCTGTTGGAAGAAAAACAGCAAAGAAGAAACACTGGAACAAAATGGAAAAGGGGAAATGAATCTTCTTCTTCTCAGGGTGCAGAATCCCAGGTCTTTGGTACGCACAGAGCAATCCACACTGGGGAGAAACTATATAAATGCTTTGGGTGTGGAAAGAGCTTTGTTCGGAGTTCACAACTTACTCGCCATCAACGAATTCACACAGGAGAGAAGCCATATAAATGCTTGGAATGTGGAAAGAGCTTTGCTCAACGTTCACACCTTACTTCTCATCATCCAGTTCACACGGGGGAGAAACCATATAAATGCTTGGAGTGTGGAAAGAGCTTTGCTTTGAAGGGACAGCTCACTGCCCATCAACAAATTCACACAGGGGAGAAACCATATAAATGCTTGGAGTGTGGAAAGAGTTTTGCTCGGAGTTCATACTTTATGGTTCATCAGCGACTCCACAAAGGAGAGAAGCCATATAAATGCTTGGAGTGTGGAAAGAGCTTTGCGCAGAGTCCAAACCTTATGAGTCATCAACGAATTCACACAGGGGAGAAACCATATAAATGCTTGGAGTGTGGAAAGAGCTTTGCTTTGAAGGGAGATCTTACTGCCCATCAGCGAATCCACACAGGGGAGAAACCATATAAATGCTTGGAGTGTGGAAAGAGCTTTAAACACAGATCAAGCCTTACTTCTCATCTTAGAATTCATACTGGGGAGAAACCATATAAATGCTTGGAGTGTGGAAAAAGCTTTGCTCGGAGTTCACACCTTACTGGCCATCAACGAATTCACACAGGGGAGAAACCATACAAATGCTTGGAGTGTGGAAAGAGCTTTGCTTCGAAGGGAAAACTTACTGTCCATCAGCGAATTCACACAGGGGAGAAACCATCTATATATATAGGAGTGTGGAAAAACTGTTGTTCAGAAGAACCATCCTGTGAAACACCGAAGAATCCATACAATAAAAACAATATGAAGTACTGAAGTGCAGAAATAGCACCTTTAATAGTCATTGATAAATCCATGTAAGAGAAACCATATGAATGCTTGGTTTGTGCAAAGTGCTTTACTGTGAATTCAACTCTTCATTCCCGTCATAGAGTCCAGAGAAGGGAGAAATAAATGTGTGCATGAAGAGCTTTGGTTGTAGCATAAGACGTATTGCCCTTCAAATAATTCATATGGGGGAGAAAACTTTTAAATTCTCTGAGTGTGAAATGGGCTTCATGAACAATTCGTGCCTTACTTACCTTCCAAGAACCCTCACTGGGGCAAACTGTACAAACTGTGAAGCTTGGAGTATGGAACAGGCTTCATTCTGAATTATTTCCTGCTTTTGCATAACCGGATCCATACCAGGAGAAAAGGTGCATAAACGTTTTCTGTGCTGAAAGAGCTTCAACCACAAGCCCAATGTTACCAGGCCTCATGAGGTCCCTGTGGGGAGTGAAACAATGTTTCTTCTTATCAGAGGAACCAGAAGAAGGGGAAGCTGTAGAACTGTTTACTCTCTGGTTGGAGTTTTTGTGCTGTATCTGGCCACAATTATACAGCTGTTGAGTTCGTTCTGAGAGACATGTTCCATTTTCAAATAAATACTTTAGAATTCAGTTTGTGGGGAAATGTGGGTGAAAAATGTCTCCTACCTTTATCGCATTTATTTTATTTATTTATTTTCTTTATTTTATCATTCGACTTTATATCCCGCTTGAACCCCTTGTCTAGGGGTCTCTGAGCGGCTTACAAGTTGGTGCTAGTCACCATTTTTCCCTAACTAGGGCCACAAGGTATATACGGGGGTGGGACAGCCTACCGGCACCCCTATGGTGGTGGTTTTGGAGTTGTTCTTTATCGTCGGCTCAGGACTCTAGGTCTTCCTTCAGTATTGGTGTTTCTGGCGGGGTGTTCTTCTCGTCGTTCGGTGGTAGCTGTCCTCTTTTTCCTGAGGCGCGCGGCTCCGCCTGCTTCCGGCCTCAGCAACGTCCCTTCCGGCTCAGCTGGGCCAGTGCTCAGCGTCCTCGCACGCCCCTTCTCGCATGTCATGAAGGAGATTCCACATATTCTGAGTGTGATTAGAAGAGGAAGATGTCTTGCAGTTCTGGCATTCAGCATCTCTTTGGCCAAATGATTCTGGGCATGGAACATCTGGGCATGGAACAGCGGTCACTGGGGGTGTGGAGGGGGAGGTATTTGTGGATTTCCTGCTTTGTGCAAGGGGTTGGACTAGATGACCATGGAGGTACCTTCCACCTCTATGATTCTATGATTCTTTTTGTGTGTGTTTTCCCCTCTTCCTTGGCACTGTGGACATCCCTAGTTATAATACTGTTATGGCCCTGAGTTTAACTGACTTTACAAAGGGATTAAATGAATTCATGAAGGATGGCCGTTGTGGCTAATAGCCTCTGATGGGCATACTGGAACCTCCATGTTCAGAGGCAGTAACCTTCCGAATGCCAGTGCAAGTTGCAGAGCCAAACGTGAAAAGTAACAGGATATCGTGGTCCCTGCAAGCCACATGACCCCCTCCCACACACATGCTTCTGGCTTGGTAAGCAATGGTTGAATGGTTAGAAGTAAAGCTAGGAGCCTCAAAATTGCCCTTGGCTTCAGGATGATGATGAAAGGGGCTGAGCCCAAAATAAAGAGAATCAGAACATCCTGGCCCAGAGTAACTCTACAACACACACACACAACCTTTATTGGCATGAAAGCACAAAACATCAGGGAAAATACTAGGATGCATCAGTCACTTACACTTGGCTATTCAAGCCTCGTCTTCTGATTGTGTAATATAAAAATTTTGCAACAGCCTCCATTATTTCTCAATTAGAATTAAACAGAAGAAAGTGAACAATTGAGTCGTCAGAGTGCCAGCTCTTACCCTCTAGCCATGGAGTAATAAAACGAGATCGGATATCCCTATAGAGGGGGCAGTGAAGTATGGTGTGTGTAGTGGATTCTATATCTTTTAGAGAGCAAGGACAAAGTCTGTCTACATATGGTATCTGGCGGTACCTCCCTAAAAGCACCTCTGATGGCAGAACATTAAAGCGTGCAAGCATGTATGCTCTGCGATGATGTGGGGCTGTTAAACTTGACAGTTACTTCGCAGTAGAGCCCATGTCAAAAGTCCCAACCTGCTTGGGGAGCAACTGCTGGCTGCTCCCTCCCTTGCATCAGTTGCTCGTGGGCCGCATGAGAGCCCTGGACGAGCTGGTTCCAGCCCCCTGGCCTTATGTTTGACACCCCTGCTCTAGAATATTACCTCATCACTCCCAGTCTTTCCCCCTCCTTTCACGGATCTCAAGCTCCCCTGGGAAACTAATTACCAGGCTTCCATCTTTGGCCATAAAGATTATAAGATTATAAGAGACTAGCAGTAAGACCTGTTGTGGGAAGAGATACAACGAGCTCTAGAAAGAGGCTACAAGTGAATGTCCTGGCTGTGGCTGGTGGGGTGGCAGAGGGAAGGGGAGAATAGAGGGTGGCGAGCCATGTTTATTTCCTTCTGCTTAGCTATAAGGCTGGGCTGTCTGAAGTCATTTTGCAGCCCCAAGTGGGTAGTATGGGAGGAGAGCCACATGGTAACAGGTATGGTTTCCTCTACCCTGACTTATGTTGATTTGGGGCTATGCAGTGGCAGCTAAGGTAGAAAAGCACCTCCTCTTATGCCATGTTTTCTGAGTTCCAAGGGTCTGGGAAGCAGTTCCGTAGCCAGGTACAGGTTTGCCAACTCTGTGTTGGGAAATAACTGTAGATTTGAGGGGTAGAGCCTGGGGAAGGCAGGGTTTGGGGTGGGGAGGGACCTCAGCAGGGTATAATGCCATAGAGTCCACTGTCCAAAGCAGCCATTTTCTCCAGGAGAACTGATCTTGGTCATCTGGAGATCAGTTGTAATAGCTGGAGATCTCCAGGTGCCACCTGAAAGCTGGCAATACTTAGGGGAGGGCCAGGTTTGTTGAAGGACTTCAGTGAAGTATACTTCCATAGAGCTTACCCTCCAAAGCAACTGTTTTCTCCATGGGGACAGATCTCTGTAGTGTGGAGATCAATTGTAATTCAAGGAGATGTCCAGGACTTCCCTTTCCCCCCAATTTGTGTTTAACAGTTTAACTTACTAACACTTCAACTGACTCCCTGCTAATGCCCCACAGCCTCTTGGGACTCCCAACTTGGGAGCTGTAGTTCTAATTCCCTTTGCTATGGTTGCAGTAAGGCCAGCTGAGAACCACAACTCCCAAGGTGCAATGTGTCAAAAGTGGGGGTATAAGAATGGAGCAGCTCGTGGGACGGGCCAATAGGCGCCAAGGCAGCTTCCCCGTTGGCCAATGGGAGTAGGTGAGTCATTGCGAGCATGGCTCGGCTTTTATATGTTAACAAGAGGCGGGACCCGCGATACTCGTCAAAAGTGGGGGTATAAGAATGGAGCAGCTCGTGGGACGGGCCAATAGGCGCCAAGGCAGCTTCCCCGTTGGCCAATGGGAGTAGGTGAGTCATTGCGAGCATGGCTCGGCTTTTATATGTTAACAAGAGGCGGGACCCGCGATACTCGAGCGGGGG